AAATGATATCAAAAATCCCATTAAAAAGCTTTATATTAAACACATTACTATTGTCTGGATTTCTATACCAAACCTATGAAATCAGTTTAATATACTTCTCATACGAAACCGTAACGACCATAAAATTTGATTCAAAGAGTGTACTTAGACTACCGGCTATAACTGTATGCATTGACTCCAAGTACAGGCCACTTGGATTTGATTGGCACCAATCAGTGTCTAAACAATTATTTGCATTGCAAAAGTACAATTATGAATTCAGGTGTCAGTATATGGTTGCACCAAATACCTGGAGAGAATGCAATTTGATTTCACCATATCACATGTCCATATTGACAGCTTCGCACACAATCTGTTGGACAGTATTATCCCGATGGGCGGCCGAACCCGAGCACTGGTATATACTTAACAAAACAGTTCAAGCATTTCCACCAAAAATAATGCTTTCATGGAATAAGGATATGATTATTGGGGGTCAGCTCTACGTCCGACTCCATTATCCCAACGAAAGGGTTCGCTATATTTTGGAGAAAAGCTATATTCAAGTGAATGTAAGCTTTACCGATGTCTTTAGAGTAGCATATCGTAAAACAATGATTGACCAAGGTAATTTATATAATCATAATACATGTTTAATCAACCAAGATCGAGACAATTGTGTAAAAGAGTGCGCTCTTCGAGTATTTACAAGAAAATATTCCTCATTTCCATCTCGATTTCAAATCTACCATGATGATTGTAAAAATAACAACACCATGGTGTACCAAAACATTACGAGTGAAACATTGGATACGAGTGATTGCATTAAGGAATGCAATGAACGCGAAGAATGTATACAACGCTTCTATTCCCTGAATATATTTAGAAATGATATGAAATTTTATAACAAATCCACTTATCAGCTAAGGGTATATCTACCGTCAGAGCCCGATATGGTGTACAAAATATCATATAAAATGTCAATCTATGAGTACCTGTTGTTCATGGGATCACTTGTGGGCCTATGGTTTGGTGTATCGGTCCTTATGTTCACTAATCTATTGATGGAATTATTTATTAAATATAAAACAAAACTCTATAATAAATGGAAAATAAATAATAATGTTATGATTAATAATACAATGCTATTCACTGTAATAAAGAGGAAACCCAATGTTCATTCTATGAGACCTAGAGCGATCAGTGCTACATAATTTTATTTAAATGAGTGCATAATTTATTATGGTTTACCATAATTTAATGTATATTTATTAAGCACAAATATTTATTTGTATAAAATTAAAATTTTTAACCACAATTCAGCTAGGAATAATTTGGTTTATAGACTCGTTATGGCTCCCCCTATCCCTGCGCTATGGGATATAACATGATAATACATAGATTTGTAGTATATTCCTAATATACTATCCAGGACATTTATTTATAAAAGTTTTTATTAAATTTTTAAATAATAATAAAAATATTAAGTTTTATAATTAATGGTTTGAAATTTTATTATGTTTCAAGCGTGTTAAATTCATTTACTCACATTATCATGATCAGAAAATATAAATATTATTACGTAATATCGTGCAAATTGATCAAGTTCATTTCACAAGCCAACTTTTTAAAATAAAAGATAGTAGAAAATAAAATTGAATGTAAAAATTAAGCTACGTTATTAATGTGTGAACCATAAGGATTTTTTAATGACCAAAGTATTGCGCACATTAATGTACTATTCATAGATACCGTGACATATGGTTTGCACCAAACCTATTGCCCCCTTAACTGCACGCCAAGTGTTAGATTTGTATTAACATTTACCATAATGTTTGTTAACTCAACCCCTGTTCACGCGTAACGTTGTTTGTGAACTGAGTGTTAGTGCTATTGAATGGCTGTTGTGTTTTGTAATCACTTAATGAAAAACATATTGTGTTTTAATTAAGTGTTTTAATTATTATTAACTATTATTAATAATATCTAGTGTTTTATTTGTAATAATAATAATTATTAACAACTCGTGTCGTTATTATAGAGTGTATAATAAATGTAGTAATAGTTATAATTAGTAATAATTAATGTTTTTATATTTATTTTGTACACAAACACAACAAACACATGATAAACACATTGTATTTTTGGTTTAATATACACTATAATTTTTGCTTGGGCGTTTGTGGAACGCGTTCCATTTTTGTTAACCTTGTTTAGTTTCATACATGTGTGGGGCCTAATCGATATATAATTTATACAGTACACTGTATGAAAATTAAATGAAAAATTTTAATTGAAATCCGCTAGGGGGACGCCCATTACTACTATAATTAGTTCATTATAACGAGTATTAAATGTACAGTACGTTATAGTAGTTATGTTATTATAATACATACTATACATGATTTAATACACACTTATGTATAACAAACACGTGTTTCATAACGACTGTTACGTTAAGCCGTTTAACAATCGGCCCAAAAGTGGCCACAATTTGCGGCCAAACGGCGGACACAATGGCCAACACCAGAGGCTCAGACATCACGTGACTGTCCCTAAACATCGATATAGTTATAAATTAGTTAATTATAGTTATAGTAATAGTAATAATCATAATAACAATACTAACGATAGGTTTAAACGCGATTACAAGCAATTAAAGTATAAAAAATTAGTTAATTTTAGCAAAAATTATCTCAAAATAGTTAAGAGTCGACTAATTAATAACGCGTTAATTAATAATAATAATAGTTATAATAATAATAAGTTAGCGATAGTTAAGCCAAACACCAAAACGGGACCAAAGTTTGAATACAACGGCAACTATAGTACGGCCGCCGCCAAGAGGTTGACTGCGAATGGGCGCCGATATCCGAGGCCCAGACCATCGGCAACAGTAGTAACAGCACCGGCGGTGACCAATGGGCGGTCACTATCGCCAGGCGCTGAGATGCCAGTGTGCGAGTTCTACCTGCAGGGCCGTTGCGCTCACGACCACTGCCCCTATAGGCACGTCAACGTCAACCCAAACGCCCGCATCTGTCAGCACTTTATCAACGGTCACTGTCCACTCGGCCACAAGGTATACCCCCTCCCCGGCCAACCATTATAGCCACCATAACCACCACCGCCTCCTCCCGGCCCTCCCTTTCCCACTGTTAAGTACTGTTTGCCAGTAGTTTTGTGATACCTTTTAACCCCTTTATTTGTTTTGTAATACAGTTTAACCCCTTTATAATGATTAGTATTTAGTTCCCTATACCCCGACCCCACCCTTGCCCTCCTCTATCGTTGTGTTCAGCAATTGTTGAATTGATTTAATGATAACTAATGTTATTTTTATGAGAGTTTTTTTGCTTTTCTTTTCCCACACACACTGTCTCTGTCTGTCTCTCAATCTCTTCCCGCATACGAAGTGCAAGAGTAGCCACCGATTGGTCGGCCAAACGGGTGCCACCACTGCCACCACCACTACCGGTGCCAAAGCTAACGGTCACACAAAGTTACGTCAACGACCGGCGATGAAACGGGTGCCAAACGGACGGTCGTCGCTGTCCACCAAACAGGCCATCAAACGAGTCAACAAACAACACGACAATCGCCGCCAATACCATCACCAGTACCGCCGCCGCCACCGACTCCAGAGCATTACCGCACACAACACCACCGCCTCAGCCACCGCCCACTCCCGTGACCTCCTGTGCCAAACGGGCGGTTCGCAGCCACTGTTCATACCGATAGCCACCACCACTGCCACCGATGATGACTGTTCGCCGCCATTGTCTGCGGCGGCTGTGGTAGCAGTGAATGGGAGCGCTAGTAGTAGTCCCGAGTGTTTAGTCGCCAGTAATGATAGTTATGTTAATAACAATAGCAATAACCAAATGTCACGTAAAACCACTTCTCATAACACTATCACTACTATTAATAATGTATCGCATAATAGAAAACACAAATACTTTTGGTTAGACAGCGATGACGACGAGCGCAGCGGCGATGGTGTGGCCGCCGATGCCGGGCCTATAGCCGCGCCCGACGGCTCACTGGCGCCCACCGCTGGCCACCGGCCGGCCATAAGGATTGTACCAAAGTTTTTGCTTTGATATTAGTGTTTGTGTTTTGTCTCTCGAGGGGTGGGGAGAGAGGGGTTTGTGAAATGGTTTTTCGCCAGAAATGCAATGCAACAGAAATTTTAGTTCAAAATTTATTATTGATTTGTGTTTTATTTAAATTTATATATAATTTTGTTTATCATTATCCCCGACAACGGGACCTTTTGATTGGTCTCGTGTTTTCATATTTTGTGCGATTAAAACACTAGTTATTAGTTTGCATTTTGTGTTGAGAAACGCTCGTGGCTGTTTTTTTTGCCTCCCTCTCCCTTAAACCCTATTGTTTTTATTATTATTTTTTTATAAAATATTTATTTTTCATCACATTTTTGTTGTATTTGTTGTGTTTTGCGGTTTTCTCGCCCCAACCAAAGCAACACCACATTTGATGTATAATAAGTTATTGTTAATAATATTTTTAATAAAAATTAATATTAATTTATTTTTCATCACATTTTTGTTGTATTTGTTGTGTTTTGCGGTTTTCTCGCCCCAACCAAAGCAACACCACATTTGATGTATAATAAGTTATTGTTAATAATATTTTTAATAAAAATTAATATTACTTAAATTTACATGTTTTATGCGTTATTTATTTAATTATAATTTACATTTATAGTTACTTTAATTAATTAGTAATTTATTTTATAGTTTTTATTGTTATAAATCGCGTTATAAAAAACTATAAATTTGATTTTTAGTTATAAAATTCAAATACTTTTTTAATTCAGTTATTTATTTGTAGTCAAAATTAATAGTCAAATATCTATTTCGGGGCAAGTGTTTTAAAAGTGCAAAATTAATTTATCAGGGTATTTTTCGGGGCTAATTAACCACAAAATTGTGACCAAGTTGTCAATCAGGCGCACAAAATGCTGGAATATCTGTACCGATTTGGGGGCAAATTAGTGTCCATTCGGGTCCAATCGGGGCCACTATTGTACTACCTATGGATGTTGGGCTTCGCGACGGGTCCGGACATTAGGAGGTCGGCCGCTGTCGTTGTTGGCCGACTGGTCCGCGCCGTACATCTGGCCGTATGTCCCGACCGACCGATGGTTGGCCTTCAGTTTGAACTGTGATAGTATGAGGTGTGGACTGTAATCGGGGTTATATTGTATTGAGTTGTTTTGTGTTTTAATTCAATGTAAATTATGATGATTGCCAATAAACATGAATTTTGATCAGTTTAGTTGCAATTGATTTGTTTAAAAGTTAATGTTTTAATTGTTTTAAAACTTTTTTAAACACATAATCAAGTGTTTGTGTTATTTAAGCACTAGTTTTCAATTTAAGGTATTTTCTATTCAATCACTATTTTATTTTTGAGTTATATTAATAAAAAAATTGATTAAATGATTAAACATTTACATAAAACAAATTGTTTTTGCAAAATGTCCAAAAAATACATTTTCAGTCTTATTTTATTAGGTATACGTAATATACACCATATGTGACTAAACTAGTTAAATAAACAAGTTTTTAAATTTGTTTTCAGCTTAATTAACATTAAATGCGCAATCTCAAATATCATATGGATGTCTGTCAAGTTACAACATAATATGATGTAACAGTTACATCATAATAAGGCAACTAAACGTGAAAAGTAAATTTGGTGAAATGAAAACAAAAATAGTTGTTTTTAGTAAAATAGTTTGAATTAAAGTGTTTAAAGGATTAATAATATATGTTACATTTAAAAACATACATGTATTAAATTTAAACATGATTTTTAAGTTTAATAATGGCTTCAGAGTTAGAAAAGTATGAAATTTGTGCCAAAATTCCTGATATTATTAAACAAGAAATCAAAATATTTCACATTTTCGACGACACGAGCGGTAAAAACATATTGTTTGTGACAACCGGTGATCGGGTCTATGGGTTGGGCACTAACACTGACGGAGTGCTGGGTTTGGGACACAACCGACCCATACATACACCCAAAGAAATACTGGGATTAAGTTCACATAAAATACACCACTTTTACAATGGATGTGATTATGTATTGGCTGTGAATAGCGATCGCAACCGTGTGTTCAGTTGGGGTCGCAATGATTGCGGACAACTGGGTAGGGATATGCCTGACCATCACGAACCGGGTGAAATCACCACGCTCGCGTCACCTGATTTTACCATATGTCAACTGAGTTGCGGCAAACGATCAACACTAGCCCTCACCAGTGATAGCCGGGTATTTTATTGGGGTTTGGATGCCATAGGTACACGTTTCCTAACTAAACCTACGGATAAATTTACGCTAAAACCTACGCAAATAGCGTTTCCCATAGGAATAACATTGGCTAACATTGTGTGCGCTAATAATAAAATGTTTGCCATAGCCAGCGATGGACAGGCGTTTATGTGGGGCCAGCCCCATGTGGTGGGCCCAGGTATTAAATCGCCCAGGGCAATGAAAAATGTGCATAATGTGTGCGATATTTGCGTGTATAGTAGTCACGTGATTTTATTAACACGCGATAAACGTATTTATAATTATAAAACTTTTATGCCTAAAAAGGATGAACTAGTTATGAAACCGATTGGCAATATTCCCATCGAGAGTATTAAACAAGTCTATATTTATATGCAAAATGATCCGGCACGAACCAGTAGAACCACCATAATGGCTTACACGGGCGCTAAAATCTATGTACTTACCGCCAAACTGACCCTGTTGGAGACAAACTATAAATCGTATCATGAAATCTATATTGATAAATATCAGTTGACGTTTAACCAGGTCACTAATTGTAATTTGAATCATGTTGATGGTATTACTAAAATACAAACTGGTAAAGTTAATATATTATATTTTTATATGGTTTAGTGTACATTATAAAATTTAATCTTGATTATTGTTTAAGATGAATTGTCTAGATTAAATCACATTCAATTCAATGAAGAGTTTAAACACCTGGCTGATCTTGGCGCTGGATATTTTGGGACAGTATTTAAGGCACTTAATCCAAATGATCAGCAGATATACGCGATTAAAAGGTGTCGTGTTAAAAGTCGTAAGGTTACTTTTTAAAATAAAACTATTTACTGTAAAAATAAAATAGTAAATAAATAATATTTGTATTTTAAAATCAGAGATTAAAGAAGACCAAGAGCAAAAATTATTGTCCGAAACTAAAATCATGATTGATTTACGTTCAGAATATGTCATTCAATACTACTATTCGTGGTTTCAATACAACTGTCTGTACATTCAAATGGAGTGCTGTTTATATAATTTGATTACATTTAACAAAAATAAGCGCAAAATGTTTGGCAAACACTACAAGAGATTCAATTATTTCATATCATATGATATATTCAGACAATTAGTGGAAAGTGTGAAGTATTTGCACAAAAATCATATCATTCACAGAGACCTCAAACCCGATAACGTATTGATTCAGTCCATCGATAAGACAACCAAACGATGCCTTAAATTATGTGACTTTGGTTTGTCTAAAGAGATGAACAAATACACCGATGCCTTCAAAATGACTGATTTAGACATTCAATTCCAGGCACCGGAGGTGAGCACCGGGTGCTATGACCACAAAATAGATGTCTATAGTCTGGCAATGATTGGGGCAGTAATTTTTGGTTTTGATCATGATGATATTAGGGACGGAGAGTAAGTGGTTATCTGTTTTATTATATTATTTTTATTTTTACTATATTTTAATAATTGTTTGTTATATTTTAAAATAATTTTCTACTTTTTACATAAGAATTACTTGCATTGAGACAAATGATGAAGAATTGGATAATATATTGTCACAAATAAATCAATTATTGCTTGAAATGAGTGTCAATAC